CTGACTTTTTCTCATTCATTTCCATCCCTAGACATAAAAAAATAATCAAATAAAATAAAATATTTTTAATTTAAAATACATCTCATAGTGTTTCTTCAAGTTTTAATAGTTCTTCTTCTACTTCATTTATCCTAGGTCTTTTCTTAGGATCTTTATCCCAACAAGTTACCACAAAACTATAAACAGATTCAGACATATTTTCTGGCTTTTCTAAACGCTTTCCTGACATAATAAATTCTGATATATCCCAGTTGTATTTAAACCGAGGGTCATTTTGTTCAAACGCATCACCCCATTTAATTGTTTCAAAAATAACCATTCCAAAAGCAAAGATATCAGCTGGAAATTTATATGGTTCTCTTAAGGATATTTCAGGTGCCATATAACTCACAGTTCCAACTCCATAGGTATAATTTATGTTTGTCATTAATGTACTAACGTTTCTTGAAAATCCAAAGTCAGTAATTTTTGCATTAACTGGAATATTTGGTTCTAATGAAAATATTAAAATATTAGCTGTTTTTATATCTCTATGTAACACTCCATTAGCATGAAGATATTTAATTCCTTTTGCAACATCAAGTAATATTTTTTTCTTTAAATCAAAGGATAAAGTAGGAAGTGTTGTAAACAAATCTCTTAAACTACCATACCCTGCTAATTCTAAGACAATACAATACTGTTTGTTTATTTCAACTGTTCCTAAGAACTCAACAATATATTCACACCTAAACTTTTCTAATAATTCAATTTCTTTGCCTAAATTTCCAAAAACATCTGAACATCCATTATTATTTTGCATAAACTTAATAGCAACAAGTTTACGGTTATATTCTCCTTTAACAACTCTACCATATCCTCCAGTTCCAAGCTCTTCATCTTTTATAGAAATTGATTTTGGATCTAATTTAAAAGATGTTTCTGTTAATGCATCAAAATGAACAACTTTATTATGTTGTTCTTTAGTTTTTAAATCATAAACAATTATCTCTATTTTTTGTTCAATATGACATGTACAAAATGGTATTACTTCCATTTTTATTGAAATAGCAGTATTTCTTTTCAAAATAACTACTTCTGGTGTAATTGAAATAGAAAATCTTACATGGTTATTAACTTCTTGAACTTTTATAAATTGTACTCGAATAGAATTTTTACTTATATTCCCAACGTTTATAATAACTTCTGTTGGAACACAAACTGGTAATTCAGTTTGATTATCAAAGTGAAAGATTTTATTTTCAAGAGCAAGTGAACGAAAAAACACTTTTTTAAATGAAAATTGTTCAGAGTCAATACTAACAGTATGATAAGATATTTCTTTTGCTCGAATTACTTTTTTCAATACCATACGCGCAATACAACCTGTTAAAATAACAATACTTATTAATAACATGATTAATACTAAAATAATTAAAACTATAACCCACCATACTGGAGCTATTTCACAATATGTATGACTTGAGCTTACTTGAAACCAAAAACTACATGAAGCACAAGATGAATTTGAAACTCTTAAACAATGTGAAACTGATGATAATGGAATACAAGTACCAAAATCTAAAATATAATTATAACTACAACTTAAACATAAAGAGGATGTACAACGAGTACATGAACTATTACATGCTATACATGTATTTCCAAATAAATAATATCCATCTTCACAAATTGAACATCCACTTTCTGTAACGGGATGATGACATCCTTTAATTGATGAACGAGAATAACATTTATTATCAACAATTGATAAATAATTTGTTGAATTACATCTTAAACAACTCCACTCATTATTACAAGTAGCACATTCTTCCATACATTTTCCACAAATTAATCCTGTTTTATAATATCCCTCATTACATGTCGCACAACCTCCAGTTAATGCAAAAGTATTACAAACACTTTTTAATTCTTCATTAATAATACATTGATGGTTTTGAATAAATGATTTATTATCACATGTTAAACAAAAATCAGAACTATATAAACATGTTCTACAATGTCCTATACAATGTTTACATTCTCCAAATTTTGTTTTATAATATCCATCTTCACATCGTTCACACATTTTTGTTGAAACAAAAGAACAATGAGGAATTTGAGTTATATCTCTTACACATTTATTTCCATATAATAAATAATTCTCTTCACATTCAAAACATTGTTCATGATACATTTGAGTACAATGAGAAACTTGCTTAGAACATAATTTATTAAGATCAACAATATATCCGTTTTCACATAATGAACATTTTCCATCTTCTTCAATTTGACAATGAGGAATTCCACACGAACCATCTGATTGTAGTTGAAGTGGGTTTAGACATTTAGTACATTTTTTATTTTCACAAATTTGACAATTTGGAGTAATTGTTGTACAAGACATACACTGTAATCCATTAGTATAATACCCTTCAGTACAAAAAACAATTGAACCACTTGAAACAATTTCTGTATGTTCTTTTTCAAAACATTGTCCATTCATAGAAATAACAGAAGTTGATGTTGTTTGTTGGCATAAATAACAATGACCTTCAAAAGAATCACCACAATTGGATAATGCGTCTGAACATATTCCATTCAATACAACATTTCCATTAGAACAATGGTTACATCTATTGTGTTGTGCTACAAGACATTTTTCTTCCATTGGAACGCAAGATCCTTCAGTATTAAGATAATAATTATCATCACAAATAAGACATGTTGTTGATGTACATCGTTGACAATGTTCTTTTTTACATTTAGAACAAAGGGTATAATAAGAATTACTAAAATAATATTCTGGACAAGTAATACTTGTTTTAGTTAAACAATTCATTTTATTGTTTAATAAATAAGCAGAAGAACATAGTTTACTACTTGCAAGTTGTAACAAATTTCTTATTCCATTTAAACACACAAGATAAAGTGGAAGGTCACCTTCACTAACTTTATGATAAAGAAATTGATTATACTTATCATATTTAATAATAATAGGATAATGGGATTGAACAATAAGTTTTAGTTTAGATGAACTAATTCCATAAGCACTTGTCATTAATTCAGTTGATGAAATAAAAGTTTCTGATAAAGAAAATCCATCATAGTCTCTACTAAAAAAAATTCTATAATCGTTAATATTTGTTGGTTCATTTGTAATTGACATAGACTCATCTCCAACTAAATATAATGGTAAAATAGAAAATCCAATATTGTCAAATTGAATTGATTCAATAGACCCATTAATAAATTGATAATAACTAGATGTTTGAAGAATATGTACTTGAACTCGTTTATCAACAAAGGTACTATGAATAGTAGAATTACCAATATATAATAAACCTGTTAAAGAATGTGTTATACAGTTAGTTCCAAAACAAGGACATAACCTAGAAGTAAATGGATAAGGAATATTAATGTCTTCTGATAAAGGATTAGGCCATTGAGTTCCATTCATATAACAATGTTGATAAGGGTCAATATGATTTGGACAATACTTACATAGTCTATTATCATTTAATAAAATAAAATGAGGATTTTTAAGTGTCATAGCAAGGTTATTATGAATTTCAAAAACAGCTAGATAGAAACATTCTCCTGTAAATGTACTAATTGTTACATATGGGTCAAACATAACTTCCCCAAGAAAGATGTGAAATAATGAAAGTTCTTCTGGTGGTGAATGAACATATAATGTTGATTCATCAAACATACCAAATCGTTTATATAATGACTTTGAAGTGGATGAAGTATTAAAAATAAATGAGTATGGATGATCCTGATAAATTTCCCACTTACTTTTATTATAAAATTCAAGTTTAGTAAAAGGAGGAATAATACTTCCATTAAAAGTAGTTATAGAATCTTCATAACAAGTTAAATCAAATGTATCTGAAAATGTTATATTTCCATCTAATGTAAAATGACTTTTTTTCTTTATAACGACTGAAGTTCCAAAAAATTTACTCTTACCAATGAGAGTAAAATTCGATTCATCAGTTAAAGAAAGTTGTGAAGTAAAAAAATGATTTTGGGATTGTAAAACAATACTAGAGACTCCAAATTCTTCTAATTCATTAACCAAAAGAACACCATTATTTCCAAGTTCAAAAATTGTATTTGTTAATTTGGCTAATATAACTGAAGATAAATCTAAGAAACATTTCGATGATCCCATAAAAAAAGTATCTTTAAGTTCAAATGAATCAATAACACTGAGAATAGAATCATCTAAATAAATAAAACTATTATTAATTGATGTAAATGACCATGTAATTAATTCAGTGTTAGGAATCATAGTTAAAGTTGAGTTATTAAGAAGTAATGATTTCATTTGTAATCCATCACTATTTTTTAATAATACCGAAGAAGAATCAAATTCTATGTTATCGGCAATTAAATATTGCAAATTATCTAAAATAAATCTAGAATTAGTGACAGTCAATTTTCCAGTACTTTCGAATTTCAAAAAAGGAAATTGCGTTATATTAAAAATATCAAAATCAATAAAAATTGATAAAGATATTTTTGCTTTTTGTGTTTCAAATTTAATTTGGTTTTGAGTAATTATTCCATTAATTTTCACATCTGCACCATCTTTTAATAATAATGTATATTTATTTGTAACTTCATTTGAAATAGTTAATTCTACTTTATTTTGAATAATTAAAATGACTTCTTCTCTTTCAACTAAACAAGTTTCATCAAAAGTAAACTTTGAAGTAATTGTAATAATATCACAACCACCCTTAATTATTTCTCCATTTTCATTAATATTATTTTCGCATATACTTCCATTTGTAACGCATCGTACTAATTCATGTTTTTGAGACTGTACAAGGATAAGAATATAAAACAAAACAATCCATTTCATTTTCCAACAAATATTTTATTTATGTTTTTATTTTTAGTTCAAAAATTTTATTTTTCCTTTTTTTAGAAAAAAAATCCAAACTATAATCAAACTATAATTTTATTATTATTTTTTTTTAGCTCATTTTTCGTCAAAAAGTTTTTTGATAATTAATTGATATTTTGTAGAAATTGCTTGTCGCTTTAATTTTAGTGCTGCAGTCAACATTCCATTTTCTGGTGTCCAGTCATCTGATAATAATGCAAAATGTTTTACTCGTTGTCGTTCTGTTAGTGTACTTTCTGCTTCTTTTAATAGTTTTTTCACTTCTTGAATAACTGTTTTATCTTCACATGCTTCTTCAAATGGTTTATCACTAATTTCTTGTATAACATTTTTATTTGGAAGAATTAGTGCAACAACAAAATCATGAAATGCATCTGCAAATACACAAATAGAATCAACAATTCTTAATGAACTGTATTTTGACTCAACAAGTTCTAATGAAATATATTCTCCACATGGTTGTTTTACAATATTTTTCTTTCTATCAATAATATAAATATGACATTGTTCATCAAATTTTGCTATATCTCCTGTACATAACCATCCATCTTCAGTAAATGCTTCTTTACTTTCTTCAGGTCTATTAAAATATCCTTTAGACACAGGAAGTCCTCTAAATAATAATTCTCCTTGTGGTGGATTATTAGAAGTTAAATACCCTAATTCTGGTACATCTCTTAATTTTGCTTCATACATTGGGAATAAACATCCAATACTTCCTAATGTATCATCTCCGTGTGGCATAACACTGCATGCTCCACATAACTCAGTCATTCCAAACCCTTGCATGATATCAACGTCTGGAACAACACATTGAAGAAAATGTTGTAATTCACAAGGAAGAGCAGATCCACCAATAATAATAGCTTTTAAATAACTTCCAAATAATGAAATTGCTAATGGTCTAAAAGCAATTGCATCAACTAATTTAACTATTGGCATAAATAAATAAGGTGTTCTTAAATTAAAGTTAACATATAATTTTTCTTTGATCCAATAACATGCATTAAATATCTTTTGTTTTGAAGCTGCTGACTTATTAACTGTTTCAAGAATTGCTTTACGAACTCTATTAAAAACTGTTGGTACTCCAATTAAAATAGTTGGTTCTAATGCACATAAATCAGACTTACAATCAATAACTCCTGGAGATGTTAATGTTCTAACATTTGCATATCCAACGGTTCCTCCATGCATAATAACTGCAAATTCAATACATAATTCAAAAATATGTGCTAATGGTAAATAAGCAATAAAAACATCTTGGTCAAAGAAAATATTCTTTTGATATCCAACTGATAACATTAATATTTGTTTTTGTTCAACTAAAACTCCTTTTGGATCTTTAGATGTTCCTGAAGTATACATAATTAATGCAAGGTCATTTGGTTTAACTGGAGTAAATGATGAATGAATTGTTGATTCTTTTAATTCACTGAATTTAAAAATTTTGAACTCTTTTGGATATTCTTCAAGTTCATCAACACAAATTAATTTTACATCATTTGGTACTTGAATTTTATTAATTCGTTGTATTGTTTCTTTAGAAACTACAATGGCTTTCACCTCTGTTTCTTTCAAAGCAACACTAACGGACTCATCACCTAATGTTGCATAAACAGTTACAATAATAATACCTTGTCTACAACAAGCCAATAACATAGCCATCCATTCATATCTTGTTTCACAAAAGATTGCAATCTTATCTCCTGATTTAAATCCAGCATCTGCAATTCCACTTGATAGTTTATTAATAAGTGTTTGAAATTCAACATCTGAGAAGTATTGATAATCACTCATTTGATATTTATATAATACTTTTTCTACTTCTTTGTTGTTTGTAATTGTTTTAATTGTTTTATATGGCACTTCTTTAATAAGTGTTCGATATCCAATAAGTTTATTTTGGTGTCTTCTTGTCATTCCATTAACAACATCTGCAATGGTTTCAAACCCAGGAACATTATAATCTACTAACTTATCAATACCACCATATCCTCTCATAACTCTACTTTCTCCTGAACTAGCTTCACCAACAAAACATCCATTTAATTTGGGATCATATCCATTAGGTCTAAGATGATAAAGAATAATAAGAGAAACAAGGACAATAACAAGTAAAGTAATTCCGACAATGCTCATTGTAACTCTTTAACTAATTTAAGATCAAACATTTATATTACCTTCAAATGGTCTGTGGCTTTCAAATAAATTGTCTGTTTATCTTTTCTTCTGAAAGAAAACATTAACTTATTTTTGCTTTTTTGTCTGTTTAACAGACATTTCATAATTGTTTTGGATTTTTCATTAATTGTAAATTTCTGTTATTTATCACATTTTAAATTTGTTTTATAAATCTCTGAATAACAAAAAAAATGAAATTCAAGAAAATTCTTTGGAAAAGTTAACAAAGAAAACCTCCCTAAAATAAAGAGATTCTTTTCATGTGAAAAATACAAAATTCTCAAGAAAGAAAATAAGGATTTGATGATTTTTTATTTAGAACAAAATAACTGACTAGAGGTAATTTTTGCAAATGTTATTTATGCCTTTTCTTTGTTAAGTTTTTATGGTTGGACGATTGATTTAAAACTTCGTTTAATATTTAAAGTTGAACTTTTGGGTCAAATCTACTTCTCATAAATAAGAATGCCTGACGAAAAGACTTATCTCTTACGTTCAAAATTGGTTGGTTGTACTGACTCATATAACCTTTATGAGTTATT